GATTAACCCATCCTAGGCTATCTCAATTGTTGACTCAATGATGAAAGCATTTGGGTAACTTAGGCATGGAGGCTAAGAACTTCATACTTTGTGATGCAATGATGATTGATGTTGATATGATCAGGCATGCTTCAACGTTTTGTTAAGATTTCATGACAAAGGGTTCTTAAGGGAAAGTATATTTGGTCATGTATCTGTGATGTGTGTGATAGTGACACTAAAGTTAGGACGCAAGGGCTAAGTGTGTGAGAAAATATATTGAAAAGAGTCAAATGGTGGTGACTCTTAGGCTAGGTAAGCTAATGTTGTAGGGATCAAGCCCCCAAGCCTAGCTCTAAGTAATTAGGGATGAGCATAGGAGATCCCTTGATATGATCATGGTGTGTGAATGTGAATATGAATGCATGTTTATTACGGCCGCACCTCGATGTGAGGTTGCCTACGTATCTGTTAGGGATCAGGCCGAACGTAGCTCTAGCCGAACCTCGCACAAGTGTGTGTATACCTCAAAAAGGTCTTTTTAAGGGTTGTAACGTGGTAAGGCTAAAGGTTATAGAAGAAAGGGATAAAGGCTCAAAACCCTTGATAAGCCCCCAAGGTGTGCAACCTTGCTTTTGAATATTTGTATTTTTATGCTTGAGGCTTTTAATTCTTTTTTAGCTCTCTTTTTTTTCTTTAGCATTTATTTCATTTTTATAAGTGTGGGCAATCCCGATCATGCGGTCTATCACTCACTTGGAATTCATGTTTCTCAGGCACGGTACTGAGCACTCGATAAGAGACGCAATCTGAGACATGTTCTTATCAAAGATATGTTCATACCAAAGACATTGGAACACTTACCCTTTTGTTACACTTTTATTATATTTTTTGCTTTTGCTTATTTTTGCTATTTTAATTTTTTGAATTCACTCAAGCCTTTTTGAAATTGCATAAGTTACACACCATCCCATCCCAAGGTTAGGTAGATATGGGTTGAAAAAGTGAAGGGTCTATCGTTAGACGAGGATCAAAGTGGTTTACCAAAAAAGGGTGTATAATTGAAAGGTGAAAGGTAATATGATGTGGCTACAAGGGGTGCCTCAAATCATTGGTATACCTTGTGCTCAATTCGACAATGATTTTTTTTTAATGCAATGCAATGTAATGCGATGATCATATGCAAGGAAATAAATGCTCATTTTATTAAAAAGGGGAAAAGAAATAATCTACAAAATTAATCTAAGGAAAAAGAAAGGTGCCTATGCTATACTTATTAGGGAAAGGAAAAAATGAAAAAGAAATAGAGAAAAAGAAAAAAAGATGTCATGAAATCTCGTTATTGAAGCTCGCCTCTGTCTTGTGTTGTTTGCTCCGACATCATCCAATCTTCTCGCTAGCTAGAGGCGATGGGATCTTGTTTGCTTCTATAAGAACTTGAATGAGATTTTGAAACATGTAGCATTCGTTAGTAGTATGACCGTTTCCTCGATGGTACTTGCAATAAGAGTTGGAATTCCATCTCGAAGATCGATTTTGGCGTTGGATCCTTTGTAGGGCCAATAAGTTTGATTAATCTTCGATCATAGAAACGATCAAAAGCAGCATCGTTGGTCATTCCAATGGGTGTGAACTCTCTCCTGGGTTTCCTTTTAGATCCTTGATTGTCCATGGCTAAGACACCATTATAGTCAAAGGTACTAACATTATTACTAGAGTGCGCGTTTTCGGAGGAGGAAGGATTATCGTTCTTCTTTCCTTTCCAGCCACTGTGGTTACTATTGCTAGTAGCTTTTTGCTTTACGAGGTCATCTTCGATTTCAATTCCGATGTCATAAACGGCCTTGAAAGTATTCAGATTATGATGATATTTTAAATGCTTCGAATACTTCTCTTGGAGATTCTTGATAAACATCCTCACATATTCCTTTTCAGTGGGCACCTCAATCATCTTAGCGGAAGTTTCCCTCCATTTATTAAAGAAAGAAGTAAAGCCTTCATTCTCTTTTTGTCTTAGCATCTCAAGTTGTCTATGGTCGGTTTCAACTTGAATATTGCACTTGTACCTATCAATGAAAGCGTTTACTATCGATTCCCAGGTAGAGGTTTTCTCTTTGTCAAGGGAGAATAACCATTGTTGGCAAACGGTTTCAAGAGATAGTGAGAATAGAGAGGGGAAAACCTTCTTATCGATACCCTTAATATTCATTATAGTTTCGAAAGCTCTTAGATGGAAGTAAGGGTTATCTGTTGCCTTGAATTTAGGGATGTCAGTGGCGTTGAACTTATGCGGAAGAAGTTCCTTGTCCAGCGAGACCCCTTGTGAACTCATGCCCTGAAATTTATAGTCACTAGATAGCTTCCTCAAACTTTCTTGCATGAGGTTCATTTGTTGTTGCTTCACAGGGTTATCAATTTTGAGGGTTAAAGCCTTTAACACCTTAGTCACGTCATTCAATTGATTCCTAAGTTCATTGACTTCTTATTGTGTTGCCATTATGGTCTTATCTTTCCTCTTACGAGCTATGGGTTTGTCGAAAAGTTGGACTTGTACGAAAAGGTTGTCTTTGATTAACCGTCCTTCCTTTCTTGACCACGCGCTGTAATTTAAACCATTTTGCGTTTTAATTACTTGACTCAAATCGACTTGACTTTACGGTTCTTAAAAAAGGAAAAACAAAAAATGGGTGCATATTTTTGCCAAAAATAATGTACATATTTTTAGGGAACTAAGTATAGTTTTTAAATTGGAGGATTAATATCCGACTTACCCCCCTAAAAAAAATGACGGGAAAAACGCGCATGCAAGACTCCCTTAGACATGGTCAAAGTGTGTGTATTGGTGTGTGCGTTGAGTGTAAGTGATATGTTTGGACTCTTGTTTAAGACCGTGGGACTTAGTGTCTAAACTCGATTAATGACTCAACCAAGTACTATTGATAGCAAAAATTAACCGAATTAATTAACCAACTGGTTAATTAGACAATAGGTGATGACTCGACCAATAATCCGAACTGTCGGCAAAACAACAGGACTGGCGTCACACTGTGTAGTGTAGCGCCAAACGACAGAGCTGTCGCCAGGCGCTACAGTCCAGACTTTGGCGCCAATGCTGGTGCTTCAATCTGGGACTGTTTTTGGTATTATTAATCATCATGGGTATACCTAAAGTCATACTAAGTCAATTCTGATTAAAATATTGGACTTTATTGACTCTAATTAATTAATTAATTAGGCAAAGTTCTTTAAGTCATTAATTTATTTAATTTTGACACAAGTCAAACAAACGGTTAAGAAAACATATATATGCACAACAAATAATGCACAACTAGTCAAGTAGGCACAATATGATGCAATGAGTTTGCAACCTAACCATGGCTCTAGTTCTCTAAAGTTCGGTATATGGTTTAGTCAATAGAGGGTCCATGGTTAATTGTCCAGATGCACCGCGCGGAAGCCTAACCGTGATGATCAAATATCCTTCGATCCATCACTTCTTATCAGACCTGTAGGAGAGCCCATGATCGAGACGGCTTGTATAACCTCTCTCGATGAAGTGGCCATGATTGAGGAGGATGAAAGTCTTTTCTTAGATAATACAAGTGTAGGGAATAATTTCAAGCGTTAACCACTAGCTTGAACCCCACTGTGATCATACACTAAAGTACGGTGGCGTCCAAAAGGGAAGAAGATAGAGCAAAAGAGTCGCCAACAAGTTTTAGGAACTTGTAAACCGTTCACAGGGTGAAGGTTACACCCCTTAACGATCCAAGAGATCGTCAACTCCATAAGGTCTTGAACCAAATAAGGGTTCGGGGATGAAGGTACAAATCCAACCTAAAAGAGATTGAACCTGCCCTAATAATAGGCCTCTACTTTATTCTGATCGTATTCATGTGCGCTTTCTGACTAACATGCAATCAATAGGATTAACCCTAAACCTGTTTATCTATGTTGGTTGAATTTAATGCACAAATAAATCTATTATTGGCGATCACTTGAATTATAACAAGATTATTAATTATCTTATTAAGCGTGATTACAAGTACAAATTCCCTTTAAACATGGATAAAAGGTGTGATCAAGCAATAACAATATATAATCAAGAAACATAATAATAATCATCATAATAAAATTATAATCATAACAATCATAATTAAAAATAATCATCATAATAATAATTATAACAATTATAATCATAAATCATAAAAAATAATCATAATAATGTTAAAGCATAATAAAAATAATAAGATCCTAGGCATGATACTAACAAGACTAATAACAAACCCTAGCATGTCACTAAGCAAATAAAAATCAAACCTTTAACCCTAACATGATACTAGCAATCATAAATATTAGGAAGAACATAAAAGGCATCGTACTTTTAATCATACTTGATAGTAAAGTTACCCTAGACATGATACTAGGAATCATAATAACAATCTAAGAATGAACTCAATATCATAACATCAATTAAACCATTAAAGTACTTACTTTGATGCCTCGTACCTCTTTCTAATAACAAAATACACACGTTAGTAACTTCAAGGAAAATAATAATCAACAATTAAATTAAATAATTGAAATAGAGATTTGGGACCAAACCCTCAGAAATTAAACCTTTCACGTCTAGGGCGAAGGCAACTTCGAATATGGCTAGGTGTACATAGATCTAATGAATGCGGAATTTTTATATTTGAGAGAAGCTAGTTTAGAAAGAGAGAGAGAGAGAGAAAGAGAGTAATCAAAAGAATCTTGATGAGAGTTGGTGAATGATTATTGAAAACTGGTGGTTGAAAACGGAGTTTTTACGACGTTATTTATAAAGAAAATCAGCCAAAAAAATAAAATATCAAAACAGAGTTCTGGCGCAAACAAAACACGATCGGCGCCAAGCGTAGCGCTAAGCGCTACAGCTGGCGTTTGGCGCCGATTCAGAAAATCGCGTTTTCTTAAAATCAGATAAAAATTGCCGTACAGGAGGATAAAATCGTATTTTCCTCAAAAATGCTCAAGGGTGGATGGCTGAACACTTGTCCTATGCTGGGAGGCTTCAATTGGTGAAGAGTGTGTTGTTTGGTATCCAGACTTATTGGGCTCAAATTTTTATTCTTCCGAAGAAAATTCTGAAAGAGATTGAGGCTAGGTTCAGGTGCTTTCTTTGGACTGGATCCTCTGCCCCTGCTAAGAAGTCTTTGGTTGCTTGGAATAATGTCTGTCTTCCTAGAGTTTGTGGTGGCTGGAACTTGCTTTCTCTTCTTGAGTGGAATAAAGCAGCTGTCACTAAGTTACTTTGGGATATTGCTCACAAGGCTGATAATCTCTGGGTTAAGTGGGTCCATATCTACTATTTCAAGCATAAAGATTGTTGGACCACCCCTACCCCTGCTAGATGCTCTTGGTTCTTGAAGAAGATTTTGAGTTGTAGAGATGCTGTGAATGATCAAAGGGGATGGGATGGTTTCGTACAGGGAAACAAGTTGAAAATTAAGAAGCTTTATGCTGCTATTAGGCCTCAAGTGCCTAAAGTTCCTTGGAAGAGAGTTACTTGCCATAACTTAGCAACTCCCAAAAGTGTTTTTATCTTGTGGCTAGCTTTGTGGAATAGGCTTGTCACTAAGGATAGGTTGCTTCAATGGCACATCTCTTGTGATCCAAGGTGTTTCTTATGTCTGAATGGCAATGAAAGTGTTTAGCATTTATTTTTTTATTGTTAATTCTCTAGGAAGGTTTGGAGCAAGGTTTTGGGTATCTTACATGTTTCCAAGCCTGTTCAGCAGTTTAGTGATGAGGTCGATTGGATGAAGAAAATCTACAGAAGTTCCAGATTGAAGAATAAAGTGATCCAGGTGGCCTTCACTGAAACAGTTTATGGTATTTGGATCCAAAGGAATGCAGTTCTCTTTACTGGTTGCTGCAAATCTGTTGATGCCCTAGTTAGGGATATTGTTTTTCATTCAGTTTGTAGAATCCCGGCGGGAAGCAAATATTTGATTGTTTAGGAGCTTGTCTCTGGCTTCTAGTGTTTGCGTTCTGGTTTCTTTTTCACTCAGATTATCTGTCGTGTTCTGGTTGCTCGTTTGGCTCTTTTTTTTATGTTGGGTTCTGATTGTGCTTTTATTTTCTTGAAGTTGAGATTCTCGTTGCATCTTTATTGTATTGCTGTTCTTTTTCTACTGACTGTATCTCTCTGCTGTCTACTGGTTGTTGCTGTCTGCTTTGCTGTCTCTGCAGTCCTGGTGCTGTGTTCTGCTGGTTGTGCTGTTGTGCACTGCTGAGCACTGCTGTCTGCTGTTTGTACTACTGCATTGCTGTTTGTTGATGTTGTTTGTTGCTGCAATTTGTTGCTGTTGTCTGTTGCTGTTGTTTGTTGCTGCTGCACTGCTGTTTTATTGCTGCTGCACTGCTGTTTGTTCTTCTGTGCACTGTTGTTTCTGCTGGTCTGTGCACTGCTGGCTGCTGCCCTTTGTTCTGTGCCTTGCTGTCGGATGATGGTGCTAGTTTTGTTGCTTTTGTTGTTGCTTGTTTTTTTGTTTTTGTTGGTTTACTGGTTAGTTTGCAGGCATGTATGCTTCTGATTGTTGTTTTTTAGTGTTTTTTTTGGGTGTTTGGCTTTGTTGTTTATTGCTGGTATTGTTGTCTGGTCCTGGTTTCCGGAACCCTTCCTAGAAGGTGGCCGGAAATCTGGGTTCAGTTGTTCTAGGCCCTTCCTAGAACCCTTCCTAGAAGGTGGCTAGGTCTGGATCTAGAACTGGTTGTATAGAGATTTGGGACCAAAACCTCAGAAATTAAACCTTTCACGTCTAGGGCGAAGGCAACTTCGAATATGGCTAGGTGTATATAGATCTAATAAATGCGGAATTTTTATATTTCAGAGAAGCTAGTTTAGAAAAAGAGAGAGAGAGAGAAAGAGAGTAATCAAGAGAATCTTGATGAGAGTTGGTGAATGATTATTGAAAACTGGTTGTTGAAAACGGAGTTTTTACGACGTTATTTATAAAGAAAATCAGCCAATAAGATAAAACAACAAAGTTCTGGTGCAAACAAAACTCGATCGGCGCCAACGCTGGCCATTGGCGCCAGGCGCCAACACTAGCGCCAGGCGCTACAGCTGGCGTTTGGCGCTGATTCATAAAATCACGCGTTTTCTTAAAATCAGATAAAAATTGCCGTACAGGAGGATAAAATCGTATTTTCCTCCAAAATGCTCTTTGATTCTAATTAAAACTCTGAAAAGTCAACAAAAGTCAATTTATCAATGCTAATTGAATTAGGAATGAAAAGAACCTTCTAGAAGAACCTAGAAGACTAAAACCATTCCTAATTGCATTAGGAATGACAAATCTATATTAGGCCCTCCCCTAGATCATTGGGCCGCATATAAGGCTTAAAACGGGCCCAGTTTAGTAAATTAGCCATAACTTCCTCAATATTCATCGGAATTGGGCTTATAATATATCGTTGGAAAACTCTTGTCAAGCCCATCCAACTACACTACTATTGGACCCATATCATGACCAACCAAACTGGATTGGCTGTTTTCTTAAAATAAGTTTTCAAAAACAGAAAGAAGAGAAAGGAAATTAAAACTATCCGCAACACTAGACTTTCCACACTTTCACTTCATTCGATTATGATTCGACGTGAAAGGTACTCATCACTGGATTTGGTTTTGGGGAGACACAAATGGGTGTCTACACCAGGGAAGACTCATCAAGTCTAAAAGAGGACATCCGAAAACTGCAAGATGTCGTTGCCATGCTCTTGAATGTGGTAGAAGGATTAGCAAATCAGGTAATGGCCATCGAACAAAATCCTCGCCAAGGATTTAATGAAGAATTCAATGCTCCTAAGCCACGGGCAAAACGGACCATTGAAGAATACACACCAATAGGAACGACTTACAATGAAGCTTTTGACTGTCTTCATGATCAAGGTCATATTCACTCCATTGGTCCCAGTCAAGTCCCTCCATCTGAAAAACGTTTTCCCAATTGGGATCTAAATTCCTATTGTCGATACCATAAAGGTCGCGGTCACACTACTGAAAAGTGTCTCGCCCTCAAGGATTGTGTTCAAGGTCTCATTGATTCAAATCTCCTTCATGTTCTTCCACGCGACAAGAAAGCCAAGATTAGTAACGATAGTAACAGTGGATGTAAAGGGAATAAGAACGATTATCCTTCTTCTTCCGAAAACACCTACTCTAGCAACAGTGTTGGTACTTTCGACCTTAATGAGATCTTAGGATTTAGAAAGAAACAAAAAAGGGATTTTACCCCTATTGGAATTAGCTACGATGATACTTTCGATCGACTCCATGCCAAGGGACTCATTACTCCTATTGGACCTCTTCAAGATCCCCCACTTGAGAAGAGAGTGCCTAGTTGGAATCCAAATGTGCGCTGCAAGTACCATCAAGGTTGGGGTGATGCTACTGAGAGCTGTTGGAAGCTAAAGGAGGATATCCAACAATCGATTGATAATAACAAGCTTCCCATACCTCCAGTTAACAAGAAGAGCGAGTGATGATAAAGCAAACAACACAAGACAAGAGGCGAGCTTCAATGACGAGATTTCATGACATCTTTTTTCTTTTTCTCTATTTACCCTTTCCCCAATAAGTCTAGCATAGGCACCTTTCTTTTCCCTTAGATTAAATTTGTAGATTCTTTCTTTTCCCCTTTTTAATAAAATGCGCATTTATTCTCTTACATATGATCATTTCATTATTATTGCATTAAAAAAAAATCCATGTCGAATTAAGCACAAAGTATACCAATGATTTGAGGCACCTCTTGTAGCCACATCATATCTCCTTTCACCTTTCAAATATGCAATCTTTTTTTTGATAAACCACTTTGAGCCTCGTCTAACGAAAGACCTTTCTTTTTTCAACCCACATCTACCTAACCTTGGGATGGGATGGTGTGTAACTTATGCAATCTCAAAAGCTTGAGTGATTTTAAAAGATCAAAATACAAAAAATAATAAGCAAAAAAAAATAATAATAATAAAAGTGTACAAAAGGGCAAGTGTTCCAATGTCTTTGACATGAAAATATCTTTTATATGAATACGTCTCAGATTGCGTCTCTTATCGAGTGCTCGGTACCGTGCCTGAGAAACATGAATGACAAGTGAGTGATAGACCGCATGATCGGTATTTCCCACACTTATTAAAATAAAATAAATGCTAAAGCAAAAGAAAGAGCTAAAAAGAGTAGAAAACCTCAAGCATGAAAATACAAATATTTAAAAGCAAAGTTACACGCCTTGGGGGCTTATCGAGGGTCTTGAGCTTTTATCCCTTTCTTCTATAACCTTTAGCCTAACCACGTTACAACCTTTAAAAAAACCTTTTTGAGGTATACACATACTTGTGCGAGGTTCGGCTAGAGCTACGTTCGGCCTGATTCCTAACGGATACGTAGGCAACCTCACATTGGGTGCGGCCGTAATAAAAATGCATTCATATTAAAATTCACACACTTACACCATGATCATATCAAGGGATTCCCTATGTTCATCCATATTCATTCAGAGCTAGACTTGGGGGCTTGATCCCTACATTAATGGTCTACCTAGCCTAAGAGCCACCATCATTTGACTCTTCTAAAAATAATATTTTCCACACACTTAGCCCTTGCGGCCTAACTTTAGTGTCACTTTCACACACTACACAGATACATTACCAAATAGTTTTCCCCTTAGGAACCCTTTGTCATGAGATCTTAACACGACATTGAAGCATGCCTTGTCATATCAACATCACTCATCACTCATAATCATCATTGCACATCGAAGTATGAAGTGCTTAGCCTCCGTGCCTAAGTTACCTAAATACTTTCATTATCGAGTCAACTAGGATAGTCTAAGATGTTACAATCCTTGTACTGTGAGAAACAACATTTAACTAAGCTCATTCAACATGTCCCTTCAAAACCTTCGATTCTTTTTTGCGTCTTTCTTTTTTAGGAGAAAGTCAGTACCCTCCACAAAAATGACGGATAATTTTTGCTTTTTTGCATTTTCGAGTCACACAATCAACACTATGCATACACGGGTCATGAGTCACATGTGTCAAACACTTCGAGTCGAGTCAACTTCGAGTCAATCACAGCGAGTCAAGTTTATGCCTTGAGTCATGTCAAGTCAATGAGTCAAGAGACACTAAACCTTAGGTCAACCCTAAGATAATTAAAGAGATTAGCAAAGCTCTATAGTCAAAAATAAATACAGGTGCAGCTGAATAGGGAAGACCCTACTCCAGCGCCAAGCGAAAACATCTAGCGTATGGAAATAGATTTAAGCGCTTGGCGCTAGATCTCAGCATCTGGCGGCAGAGTCAATTCTTGGTGGCAGAGATATTTCAGCAGCGACAGAGCTCGAAGCCTCTCAGCAGGGTGATTTCGACCTCATACAGCAATTTCGGGTTCCTTGGTACGCCAGTTATCCCCTATAAGAAATTTGACATGATTAAGTAGTCAGTTTGATTACAATCACAATAACTGATCGACCTAATGAAAGATCGTCTCACTTAGCTTAAAGCGCCTAAGAATTGGCTCATCACGGAGACACCAACGTACTGGTTTTAGCGGAAGCAAAGTTCAAGCGAGCTTTAGAGATCGGCAAGCGTTGGTCTTCAGAAATTTTTCTTCGAAATATTATCATCGAAGCTCTTTGCTCCAAAGACGCGTGGACATATTAATCCAAGCTCTTTTTCTCAGAGACGCGTGGGCATCCTATTTTCAAGCTCTATTGTTCGGAGACGCGTGGACATTTCTATCAAGCTCTTTTTCTCTAGAGACGCGTGGGCATATCATCAAAGCTCTTTTGTTCAAAGACGCGTGAACATTTCCATTAAGCTCTTTTGCTCTAGAGACGCGTGGACATATCATCAAATCTCTTTTGTTCAGAGACGCGTGGACATTTCTTTCAAGCTCTTTGCTCTAGAGACGCGTGGGCATCCTATTTTCAAGCTCTTTTGTTCAGAGACGCGTGGACATTCAATCCTATTATCAACCTCTTTGTTCAGATACGCGTGGACACATCATTCAGAAGTTCATATTAAAAAATAAAGAAGCTCTTTGTTCAGAGGCGCGTGAACATATCCACAAAAAGAAGCTCTTTGTTCAAAGACGAGTGAACATCGAAACAGCAAGATGGCGTTCCCTAGATTGTGGAGAGTTTTCATAAACAACTGAAGGTAATTTCAAGGGAAGTTGTCTTCGATCATGTTCCCTTAGACGTGGAAGAGGGTCACAAAGCGGAAGAGA